ACGCGACAGCACTTAACAACAATAATGCTGTGTTGGAGTTCTGGTATGGCACTGTAGGATAAGCACTGGACTGCTAACCTGAAGGTCAGTGGTTCAAACCCAACAGCTGCTCCTTAGAAACTATACAGGGTCACTATGAGTCAGAACTAACTCAGCGGCACTTAACTACAACAACAATGCTATGTCACTTTTTTTCTGACTTTTCACTAAATAACCCAACTGGGCCCAATTTCTTTGTCTATTAAGACTATGCTATTTCTCAACTTAAAATATTGTAAGATCCTGCAGAAGTGGATGATACAAACCATTCTGCCCACAGTCCTCTCTGTTAATGCTGGGCTCCATACTTACAGTTATGGGATTTATTAGGGAAGTTGTTAGTTTTGTTAAGTGTCATTAAGTGAATTCTGACTCAATAGCAACCCTGTATATGGTTTCAAGGAGCAGCTAGTGGGTTTGAATCGCTGACCTTGCAGTAGTTAACAGTCCAGTACTTATCCTACAGCGCCACACCAGGCATAGTTCTTCCAGTCAGGACAGCCTCTCTCTGCTCAGCCAATGAATGATACAGAAGCTCTTTAAGACACCCCACTCCAACATGAGCCTGAAGATGCTTGGCTCTAGCTCTCTGGCTCAACAAACTTTATAGGTTGTAGGCTACATTTTGCTTTTTCAACTAAAGTAGCGGTAAAATTAGAAACCATCTGACAAATTATAATTCTAAAAGGCTAGAAATTTTATTACTTTATCATTTTTATAGTTATAGCTGCTCATCTAACTTTCTGAGTTTTGAACAGTCAATGGGACAAACATCAGAGTCTGTTGAATTTTGGGTGAAGATTTTATATTAGCAGTGGAATAGATTAGATGAGATGTAATTTCAACGGTGAAAATAAATTGAAAGAGAAATGACTATAACGGTTGGGGTAGATGTAAGGATTAGAATCATAAGATTCCCACTAAAATTGAATGGGATTCCATAGGATTCCCAGTCATGGATTTACTGTCTATAGGAGAATTTTCACGTCAGTCCATCCCAGTAACCCCGCCTCTCTCTTTCAATGCAGGCATCAGCACCATTAAGGTTAGCATCCGTCACGCCAATTCCCTGGGAGGAGGCTTCCACTGCTGGACCTGTGATGTCCGTCGCCGAGGCACCCTACAATCTTACTTTGACTGATCAGGCCTGATAGGGCTTGTGGCGTAGTCTCAAATAAAGCTAGGAAGACTAGGGGCAAGTTTAACTTTTCTGCTTTAAAAAATGCATGAACTGTAGTACTTTAAACAATTATATCCTTAACAAGGGTCTTAGCAAACCAACCAAACCCACTGCCACAAGTTGATTCCAATTCATAGCTTCCCTACAGGACAGTAGAACTAACTGCCCCATAGGATTTCCAAGGCTGTGACTGCTACATCTTTTTCCTACAACGCAGCTGGTAGTTTCAAACCACTGACATTTTGGTTAGCACCAGTGTGCCAGCAGAGCCCCTAACAGGGATCTTAAACCTGGTTTTATTTTTACTACTTTTCTTTGACATAAGGAAAATAACTTGCATTCAGTCTTACTCTCTACTTCTAGTTAATTACAGCTTAGCTTCAAGAGTAAACATTTAACGAATGTGTACCAAGACAAAAATTTAGTCACTTGAGTAAATTTGTCACTAATATTTAACCATCTACCTCTGTTTTTTGTTTTTTAATTTCTTTTCCAAAAGGCAGCTTGAAATGTTGGTCCTAATCTTTTTTTCCCCCTGCTTGGTAAAGTTTTGAGTGTTTGTAGCACTTCTGTTTTTCTAAATGAGAGAAACACTTAGAACAAACACAGATCTAAAGTGCAAACTCCTTTTCTAATAAGAAGTTCTGGTTATTTTTAATTTTATTTTTTAAGTAATCTAGATATGCAAATATGTAAGTGAATTTTCCATGAATGTTTTTAATATTCTTATCTCAACGTTGGTGATATTTACTACTAAAAATCATTTCCTACAACTTACCTCATTTCAAATGAATTATTTTAATTATCTTCTTCTCTTTCCAAAATTCCACAGAAATATTTAGTGCAATAAGATGTAACTGTCAGTCCCCATCTCTAAATTTTGATGTTCAATATCTCATAGGTACATTGCATCTTTTGTAATCAAAGATTTGTTTATAGATGTGCAAATTATTTAAAGCATAGATTATATAAAAAGCATTAAAAAAAACTAATGTAGATAAAACTTCCAATAATTTTCACGTTGGATATGTATTTTTATTCTAATAAATACTTGTATGTATTTTTATTCTAATAAATACTTTTATGTTCCACATTGGATATTGGATTTCATTAGAGTTTGTCTTTAGTCTAATTATTTTAAACGTAAGTAAATTTTAGGAAATGTAGTTCCTGGGACAAACTTCTAATGCTCTGAAATAATCAACATCCCCATTCTTAGGAGACAAAAATGTAAGCCTAATATTTATATTCAGAAATATTTAACAGAGTAAGAGTGTAGTTTATTCATTCATTCAAAAAGAGTATTTTAATACTTTTTAAGTATGAGATACTACTCTTAGGTCCCAAAAGTAAAAAAATGGTTCTGTTCTCAAATCACCAAATGTTTTGATTCATGAAAACTTGGGATGAAGCATGTACTTTGAGATGAGTCCTAGCTCTCTACCTTTAACTCTTCATGCCCTTTCTTCATTCATTTGGGAAGCAGCTATTATTCCCACATTTGGACTGAATCTGTTTAAGAACTGTGTACAATTGTGTGGACTGGTGCACAACAAAATGTATTTCCAGACCTAAATACCACACTGCAATTCTGTTACACACCCCTCTCCCATTCTCTGTAGCTATTCCAAACCTTTACTATATTTGCTGGCAAATCACAGAGAAAACAGGCTCTCAGGTGTTAGTTCCCTCAGTTTTTCAGTTCCAATCATCTTCATTTGCATCCTCTGGTAAGGTTCCTGAGCTCCTCCCCTTTACTCGTTAAGCTTCTAGGGAGCAATGCCTGTATCTCATCAACCGCATTTACTGTCGACCTACTATAAAGGGATGCTTCTCTCTCTGCTTCTGAAAGAGGTGAATCCTCTGGCCAAGTCTAAATCACAACTGCACTTTGATCCTAATCTTTCCTTTTTCAGGACCTTACTACATCAATTACCTTTCTTGTAATTTTACCCTTTGCATGTATGTGTGATTTCTTTCTCCTCAGCAAATAGTCATACTAAGCTTCTAGAAAGGATATATTTACTATTTCTACTTGTGTTTCACTGACTGCTCACTCTCCTATTATCTCTTTTCTACCTTATCACGTTACTGAAATATACTAATGATACCCTGACCTTTTGCAAGAATAATTTCTTTTAGAAGAATCAGCATAAGTCTGGTCCCCATAAGGTAGAAGTTAAAAATATTCTAAATATCTGGTTTTCCCAAAATGCTATATATACTACTCCATATCAACCATCATTCCGCTCCTTAGTATTCTCCCTCATGTCCCAGGGTTCTGCAATTCACTGCAATGTCTCACAAAACTCACAAGCTGTCAAGGAAATGATGCACATGGTTTGGGAGGTTAGCAAGTCCCAAATCAGTAGTTCAGACATTATTAGTTTGGAGGATTCTCCTCACTAATGCCAAATTGGGCTGTTGACTCACAAGGATCCAGAACCTGGTGAATCATGTCAGGCAATAGGCCAGAGGTAAGATGGAGGCAAGCCAGACACAGGATTCAGAGCAAGAAAGGAAATTTTTTCCAAAGTGCCCAACAAAAACAAAAAAACCAATTGAAAGGATTGCACCCGGACTCATGTTACCAAGATGGCTCCCTAGTCTTGGGTCAGGGGTCTTTTAAGACAATAACAGTACCTGATTGGTGTTTGTCAGGATGAGTCAGCACAAGAAGCAGTCATCTGTGAATCTTCAGTCAGGATGGGGGCTACAAATACG